AGACCCAAGAAATGGCGGCATGAGAATATGAGCTGCTAGCTTCTGTGGATTCCCTGAGGTGGGAAATGGCATTGATGCAAGAGGCAGCACGAGAACATGAACTGCAAACTTCTGTGGATTCCCTGAGGAGAGAAATGACATTGATGCGAGAGGAGGTGGCATAAGAACGAGAGCTGCAAACTTCTGTGGATTCCCTGAAGGAAGAGATAGCATTGATACGAGAGGAGGCAGCATGAGAGTGCCGGCAGCAAGGTGCCATTGGAGACAAGTGGGCAGAGCTGCCAGGTGTTCTGGAGGAGGAAGAGGCCATCAAGGATAAAGACTAACTCCTGAGGGAAGCACAGGTGGAGGTGGCACAAAAACGTCAGCTGCGAAGCATTGAGCTGAAGGTAAGAGGCCTTCTGAAGACAGGTAGCATTGCTGCGAGGCACAGTAGAAAAGGTAAAGGTTGTAGCAGAGGAGGAACTAGGGAAAGGGAGAGAAAGGTGCCATCAGTCCCAGAAATGGAGGAGCTGGAGAAGGATGAAGGGGTGGTGCCAGAGGCACTGGCACCTCCTGTACTGAAAGCACGCCCAGTGGTTGTAAAGAAAATAAAGACCCAGCAGCTGAAAGTTCCCCAAGGAGAGGAGCAGCCCCCTACCCAGGTCGTGGAGCACTCTATGGTCCACCCCTATACTCAGGCTGAGCTGGTGGATTTGGGCTCCTGGTTTAGGCAGAAGCCTTGGAGTCAATATTAGCTTGGCTCCTGCATCTGTGGGACTGAGGGGTGGAAGGTATTGTTCTGTCGGAATCAGAGATGGGAAAGCTGTCTTCCCTGACAGTGCAGCCTGCCTTGAGGCAGAGATTACAAAATGCACATCAGATCCTAGGGAGTCACTCCCTTATCGCCCCTAAAGTCTTTGTGGATTCGGAACTTCCTCTGACTTGAGGATTATTATAATTTTTGTTATTAGTAATCTCCTCTGGCTTGAGGATTATTATAATTTTTGTTATTATCTCTAAGTTGTTGTTATCCTCTGTTGCTATTATGGAATCCATTTACAGTGCTCTTGCTTTCTCACACAGGGACGATTGTGGAAGATTGAAAGCACGTAGATTGTAAGGCGAGAATCCTGGAGGGGTGGAGTGTGGGGAAGTTGGGGTTCCTATGGCCAGGATCCTCACTGAACTTAAACCACCTGATGATGTAACTGGCCTGTTGCTAGGCTACCACTTCCACACCTTTAGGCAATAAGCCATTATTGTGCTATATAGAGAGCTTAGCCTGGTGCTCCGCCTGGAGGCAGAGATGCTAGTGCTCGACCTACCACCAGTATAACAAGCCAGGTAATAAACCCTTTCACCCCAAAGAACGTCCTGCTGTCAATTTCTTTGGTCACATTGAATACATAACAAACTTACCCGGGGCTAAAACCCATTGGCAAGACACTATTGTCTGACAGGAAGAAGTAAATCACCACTCTATTCTAAACCTGTCAAAGAAAACAAAAAATTCTGAAGTCCCACTTAATGTGTCATTTAAATGCTTGCCAATTACTCATATGATATGATTACCTCCCTCATAAATATGACCTCTTTCTAGTGTGTAGAAAAGTGATTATCTTCCATGACATGTCCGTCTGATTTGATGGATTTACTTTCCTTTAAACTACATGTATATAATACTTACAGTGCCAAGGTCAATGATGAAGCAGTCACCCTTGTTGAAACTGTCCCAGCTCAGGGGCACTTCTGTGGCCCTGACCACTCTCCGACCCTTCACATGCAGGAGCCTCTTGGCAGTCAGGTCATTTGTGAGAACATGATTTAGTCCAGATGCCACACCTCCAGACTGAACAGTGGGAAGGGGACAGAAAAGAAAACAAAACACGAGGCTTCTAAGTAGACATGGCAAGTGCAAAAAACCACAGGTGTTTATGCCCAACCCACCTGTTAGGACAAGATAAAATAGCTCCTGAGTGCATGTGAAAAATTAAATGTGCAGAAGAGAATTCCTTGGCAAATCAACAGGTTTTCATATTCTACATTTTCAGGTTCTTTGTCCTTGCTGTTTGAGCACTCAGCGTAATATTGCCAATATTTACTGAGAGCCTTCAGACAATAAACCTGCTGCTTACAAGCAAGAAGCCATAGCTTGGTCCTTTGGGAGCTCATGACTCTCAGTCTTTGAGTGAGAAGGCAGACGATGATTTCAGGGAAGAAGGTGATGGGGAGATTGGAGAAGAGACATAACAAATCCAGATGAGGAGTGCCCAGAGAACTAGGCGCCCTCACACTCCACTAACATGGCGTGAGGACAGAGAGCTGAGTGTTACTGGTTATGGGCTGCTCCTATTTATGGTCCATGTGGCTACATTTTAAAAATCAACTGTCTTTATTTATTTGGCAAAAAGAGTTTGCTAAACATGGCAGTATTTATACTCTAAATTTGGTCGCATATCCCCAAACAAAACCAAACAAAATACAGAACTGCATTCAATTAAATGCTGAAGAAAAAATATCAACTATATCAAGTACATCTTCTTGAATTATTTGAAATCAGCTTTTACCATTTCAGTTTTTTTCATAATTAAATGTTAGAAACAATAATCTTTATTTATTGCCACAATTATGAGGTATGTGCATAATAAAGATGCAGTGCAAACAAATCTGTAATTTATTGTTCCAAGGTCTCCCATGATAAATGATAAAAAAATTGTAGTCTAAGAAACCTCTAAACTTACCTAACTTTCAAGTTTATTATATAAACAGACAATAAATAAAAGAAAGAAGTTAAATTGCAAATATAATCATTAGCACATTCTTTAAACTTCCATTGATTTTAAAATCTCACCATTTTCTAGGAAAAGGCCCTCATGAACAAAAAGGCTTTGTTCAGGACACTTATAACCACAAATTTTAAGGAATATATAACGATTCCCTAGTCCATAATTTTACAAAGATTGCCATATTTCTTGACTGAACAAATAAGTATTACCTAATAAAAAATATAAGCTTTCATCTATACATTAATGCTCTTATCCATTTCACTTTAAAAAAAATAAGTACTTTGTGATCTGATAAAAAATAGTATAAGAACTCTGTGATCTGAAAAGAAAGTGACAAAATATAGAATAGATTTTGATTGAGGATTCATATTTTACATTTAGGCTAATTTCTTAGAAGGAACCATCAAAGTAATACACAGTCTGTGAATATTAACAGTATTTTAAAAATTAAATTTGTCTTTAATATTTGATGCCCAAAAGGCACAAAGGAAAAACTGTTGTCTGTATTAGACAGTAAGTAGTTCTGTGAATATTGTTTGAATCAACCTTAGAAATTCCCAGCCTCTCTCTACTTTCATACAGTAAAATGAAGACTAACTGGATGATGTCTCAATCAATGGCTCTGGAAGTACAGTTTTGCTGACTGACAGATATCTCATGGGCAATATTTACAACCATGACCTATGGCTGCATCTTCATTTTGGGAAAGGTGTGATTAACCAGACATTCAATATAAGGAAGCAGTGTTAAGTATAGTCCTCTATAACCCCTCTCTAATCCCCTAAAAAGACCTCAGAGATTAAAAACCTCAAGTCAGTTAAATGACATGAGAAGATGATCTTAAAGTTTCCTAGTTGAACCTTTACACTACATATGGCAACTAAATACAGTTGTTGCTGATTTGGTAAGGGTAGCTTGGCCAAGATTTGCCTGTTCTAAATAGACACAATATCCCGTTTCCTATAGTAATATTAAATAAAAATTTCATCCTGATTTGAGCTATTTATTTATGTTGAGAGAATCATAATATAATGATTACCAGCTTAGGCACTGGGGCTGGATGGCCACCCAGTCACATATGTGGCAGAAATAGGTACATAACCAGGATAATGACTTTTAGACTTTGGTTTATTAGACTTTGGTAAATTATATAGTCTCTTTAAGCTTTTGTTTACTTATCTCAATAGGGTAATAATGATGGGAACTGCACCACAGGGCTGTAGTCTGGATTAAATGAGATAATATATGTGAAGTGCTTAGCACATTCCTATAAGCATGAAATAAAGTATAGTATAATAGTCTTGGCTATTTCAGGTGGTAAATTACCTTTGCTTCCATATTTCCTTTCAAGCATTGTTGCAACTGCACACTTTGTCATCTGCTCAATGTTACTAATGGTAAGACATTGAATTGATTTTTTTGCTGAAAAATTTGACCTCTATTTACAAACATTCTTTCTAAAAAATGCTGGTTTTAATTTAAAGAATTAGAAGGTAATTATCCAATAACAGTTAAATTACTTTTATCATGTCCACTTTTAATTATGTATCCAGAAGTCTGATTTCAGAAGTCCTAAGAGCCAGAAGGATTAATAAGTCCTACCAAATACATATGTACTACATAGGTATTTTCTTACTCAATGTAGTCCTCAATCCTTAAACACCTATATGAAGAAGCTGTTATACCCACTGTATATTTGGGGAAACTGAGCACAGAAAGCTTATGCACTTACCCTGAGGCAAACAAATCATGTGGCAGAAATAGGTTCATAAACAGGATGATGGCTTCTAATACATGCTTTTTTTTGTACATGTTTCTAATAACTACGAGACCCAGCTTATTCATAATGTCGGGTTCAGTGATATAAAGGAAATTTCAGATCATTTGACATAAATTGTAGTAACTGTTAATTAAATAAAATGAGAGATAATGGCTTCATATTTAGCACTGTTCATAGCCTAGAGTGAAAGAAGGACTTCAAACGAGAGAGGAAATCTTTAAATGTTTCATACTGATTTCAATGGCATTACAAAATATTCAACTAAGGTGATGATCAGCTAAAGCTAGAAATAAACCCTGGTACCGCAGTAGACAAATTTAGTACATATCAAGAATTCTAATCTAGCTTTGAGGTTTTAGGTCTGCATTAGGCTAATAAGCCTGAGCGTTAGGTGAAGCGCACCTGTTACAGAATGTTTGTTTTTGAAGAAAAGGGTTGTTTCTGGAATGTTTGTCTGGGGAGGGTATTCCTCACACTTTAACCAAATACTCTTGGGGTAATGAGGGTGGTGAAGGTGGCTGGTCTGCAAGGGTCAGGAGAGAATTCCAGAAAAAAGCTATACCCTTCACTGAAGGTTACCTTAAAGGGACAGAACTATTTAACTATTTGTTTTTGTTTTTATTTTCAGAAATAAAGCCATTTGATAATTAGTGTTTTAGGCGAAACACAGAAACTGTGCATATATGTGTGTGTGCACCAGTTGCATTTGAGTTCATGAGGTCAAACAACATACATGTTCGACTCAAAGGTTTCATTAGTATAATTTCTAAGATCAAACCACACTATTTGGGAAATGTGTATATAGTTCTTTGTATTAACTGAAGCTATAATTGTTATAAATACTATTTCAAGATATTCCAGAAGAATTTATTTTCCTAAACTGTGGATTATTTGTAGCAAATTTAGACTTAGAACAGCAAAAATGGAAACTGTTAATATCCAAGTTACAAATATTTAATTATTGAAGTAACTTCACACAATTTTAAAGGGCTTTCTCATGATGACTTAATTGAAAGCTCTTAACATTGTTAAAAATTAACCTATGAAATGATACCACCAGAATATTTCACATATTACACCACACATTCCACAAACATTTATTGAGCATCTACTATGTAGTTAGCAGGTATGGAGATACATTTCATGAACAAAACAGATGAAAAACAAAACAAAACACAAAACCCTGCCCTCAGTGAACTTTCATTCTATGAAGACATGAGGTGTGGATGGATAGGAAGAGAAAGGGGGTCATAACAGAATTCATTTGAGGGCGCTACATACCTTGTATTTAAGACCTCCTTTGAAATAGCCCACAAAATCAGTAGATTCATAGCCTTGAAGTTCTCTATTCTGCACTGGTTTGCCACCCAAATAGTCATCCATCTGAACAGTAAAGATGGCAGCTGCTGTACTTTCATCCTGAGTACACTCCTTCCCTGAAATATCAAATGACAGCACCTTGTTTATCAACATGTGATATAAAATATTATTTTGCTGATAACTAAAAGAATTATTTTCTTATTTTCCAATACCTTACATTTTTTTTAAAGAAACAATACTGTCTGAATATACTGAGGAAGATAAAACAATATGTTCCAGTAGGATTCAGACTCATTTGATAAAGTCAATAAAATCAAGCCATGAAAACATTTTGCAATTATTTTAACCTTCTTTAGCATCAAAACTTAAGTGTCTAATATGTTTATATGTTTATATTTGTAAAGCATACGAACATCACAGGGCAAATCTAAATAACTTCAGGAAAGCAAGTGGTTTTTAGAATGGGAAAATGAATGTAATTTAACCTTATCCCTGTTTTTGAATCCCAGTGTCCCCACTTCATTATCTTACCAGTGTATGATAATATTATTTAAAGGAAAAGGGAGAGTAAAATAACTAGCATTCTAATGTCTATTGAATGTTAGTAAATGTAGTATTAGCCCAGGGTTTGAACACACATACATTTTCACATTTCTAACACTGATCCTCTCCAGGCAACCTTACTGAGGTTGAAATACCAATTCTTAGGAACCAGTATCTCCAGTGTACACAAAGATCAGAGAGAGGACAGTCCTAAGGGGAACTCACATTTTATGAAAAACACTTCAAAGCCCTTATTACATCTCAGCTGTGTGAAAATCATAAATTATTCTTGAAATAAAAATAACTAACATTTATGCATTTATATAGTACCCTTGCTATGGGCCACTCTAGTAGTGTTTCACATGGATAACCTCATTTCATATTCAAGCAACTGCAGGAACATCTTTCTACCATGTTATAACAGAGAAAATGCAGGCTTAGGGAGGCCCAGTAACTTCCCTGAGATCAAAATGTTGACCTTTGGTAGAACATGACCCAGAGGCAGGTTTCTGTAATTCTGAAGCACAGGCTTTTAAAAACTACAATACTAGTAGATACATTTTTTTTATACTAAGACTCCATTAACAGTAAAATTTTGGGGTAATCAGGGTATGTTATTTTATTCCATAGGNATATATATATATATATATTTATCTTGAAACCCTAGTTGAGAGCATTCACCAAAATTAAAGAAAGAAAATCAGCTAAATTAAAGAAAGAATTGGATTTCTTTACAATTCCTTCTTTACTCTCAAAGGGGACCTGTATAGCAAACTATGTTCTCAGGGAAAAAAAAAATTCAGTAGCTAGAAGAGTATTTAACATGATAGTAACCTTGACCTTTTTGTGGTCAAAGGAAATTTAATACACCTAAAAAAATCACACATGCAATTTTGCAGACCTAGAGCATTCTGGTATCATTCTTCTGCCCACTTTCCAATCTGTAAATGAGAATATTAATAAAGTCATACATGTAGATTTGTAGAGATGCTTTAACAGGAAACACCAAGGCTAGGTGTTAAGGAAAATGTATTTGATATAAACATTCTTACTTGTTGTACAAGTAAAAATCCATGTCTCTGTAGGTAGATGTAAATGGACAGGCATGTAATTAATGAATTGAACCAGAAGTGAATTAAATTATGCTGGCATTTGCTGATGTACTGTGCTAGACCAGAGAATATCAGTATGTATAAACCAGCATCCTTGCCCTAAAGAGGATGAAAGGTCTGAATGAAGCCAATACCAGCGCTTGAATGGAGAAATTATCACTTGTACTATGATGAAATTCTACCAACTGTTCAGAAACATATGAACTTTCTATATGAATATTGTTTATGATTTCATTTATTTTTCCCTCGCCTGAATTTACTCATATCTTTCACATTATGTTATGTTGTTTTGTGTTATTTTATATTTGTTTAAATGCTGTAAACTTCCTAAATTGGTTTGGGGTGTGTGATGGTTTTATAAAACATAGATTAAGAGAGAGGTTTAATAACTAGGTTCATTGAGCATCCATTCATGATAAAAACTCTTACCACATTACAAATGCAAGGGAACACCTTCAATTTGATAAATAGCATCTACAAAAAACAGAGTAGTTATTACATAAAGGTCTGTTATGTTCATATATACTTAGGTAAAGTTTAAAACTGGCAATGAGAAATGGTGAGGGTTGGTGTCTGTGGCATAGGTCCAGGCCGTGACAGGGTAGCTTTATTGTGTAGCCTGGCCCATAGACATGATGCACTAAGTAATTACAAGCAGAAGGTAGATGTATTTAAACTAAGTACTGCTGAAATGTTTTTTAGGTAGGTCTAATGCAACAACTTTTATGTTATATGCAACAAATTCTTACTTTGTAAATAAAAGGAAAAATTTTTTAATGAAATTGAAAAAGATGAGATATGTAAAGGTATTCTGAAAGGACACTGAGGGAGAGATCAGGCAAAGCTGACTCTTCCTCTATTCCCCTATTTTATGTCCTGCTTCTTGTTTCCCCTTTTCTCCTCTTACTTGGCCTGTTTCATAAAACTTTTCCATTCCAGTCTAATCTTAACCTCACTCTCTTTCATCTTCCTTCCAACTGGTTTCCTGTAGTCAAACTTTCTTTTCCCATTAACTTTCAGCTCTCCTTGGAAGTTTCTATCGGTCTGTCTCTTTGATTAGTCTTCATGAATTCATCCGAATTTAGGTCTGAAAGTAGAGTATTTTGGATGAAATCCAGGTTGCTCCAGGGAACCAAAGTAGGAAGAGCTGCTGAACAATTTCATTTAAAGGTCCTGATGACTATTTCATGCCCAACTTTTCCACGTTCCTCATGATTTACTCTTGGCACAAGACTCTCCCCTCTCTCCTCCCCCGCCCCCTGCCCAGTTACCCTCATTTTCCTTTTTTCTATCAAGGATTCTCTGCTTCCCCATAACCACATACACATGTGTCTCTTCCACAGTGCTTATCACATTGTACCTGAGGTATCTCACTTATTGTCTTATTGCACCTTTTGAGATTACAAACTTTCAGGGAAGATTCATAAATCTGCAAAGCCTTACACAATGCTGGGCACATTGAATAATTACTGAATGAATTAACTTATTAATTAACACACTATTAACTTTAGTTTTAGCAGATCTCTATGGTCATCAGTGTTTCTACCCAAAGCATTTTCTATTACATTTTTTTAAATTGGTGAGAACTAAATGAATAATTAACAGTTAACCTGAATCTGTAAGCCCTACAAATTACAGTGCTTAAAGAGATGATTTGGATAAGACCTGTAGAATTAAAAAATTGTGTTCAAAGCTCTTACAGTCTTCAAAGTCAGACTTACCTGTTGTCCACAGTAAGATATGAAGTTCTTTCACATTTTAATTCCCCAAAATGATAAATGTGGCATTTCAGCCACTTTTAATTCAAGTTCTGGAAACAAAGACCTAAGTGAGGACATTACTATTTTATCTGGCAACATTCATTCACAAACTTGGTTATATATTAAAGTTTCAGAGTTTTCTGGCATAAAATATAAATAGACCTCAATCCATTTATTATAATAGGAATAGTGACATAACACAGGGAAGACAATGTGTTCGAAACTCAACTTCAGCCTCCTCTAGCAAGCACAAAATGTTAATGTCAAATGTTATAACAAAAACAGTCCTTTCTCCCTCTATGTATTTCTCATTTGGAGTGCCTACTCCAGGTGAGTGTTCCCTAACAACCAGAACATAACTTCTCAATGTTTTCTACCATTTTGCTTCCTAAAATCTTCAAATGTCAGAAATAACAACGATGGCTTTCAGGGACTTTAAAGTGTGTTTTCCCCATAAACTAATGAACAAAACTAAAAGAAACACAAGTCCAGGTTAGGCAAGCCACTTTTAAAAGAAGGCAGTTAGGCTCAAATAAGTGGCACGTTGTTAGATGGGCGCTGGACGGAGAGGGGGAGCTCCTCTCACAGAGAGAGGTTGGACATTCAGGATGTTTACCCGTAAAAGTAGAAGGTGGAAAAAGTAGAACACACAAGGCCCAGTGTCCTGAGAGCCTGGCTCGAGTGCAGCCCAAAATAATTACCACTGCCGAAGGAGAGGTTTTGTTCCACACTGTGTCCTTGTTCAAAAAGATAAATAATACATTTAAAAATAATAACTATAAATAAAGCAACTCATCTAAATAAATAAATATGCTATACAGGGCTATTTATACTGACAATATCTGTATTACTTTTTTCCTGCTTCCATCTAACGTTGCCAACATCCTAATAAACAGGAATTTTTGTTAGTCAAACCCGCAAGCAACCAGGTGCAGGCGGAATCCTGATTTAAAGCGACCCCAAACATTAATCGCCGCAAGAAGTAAATACAAGCTGGTGCCCAAGGGCAAAAAACAGAATTAGAATGGGCAAAACACTCATTAGAAAAAAAAAAAAAGGTACGTCTTGCCAGCTGCGGCGAATGCCCACAAACTTGTTTGACTTAATCACCACGAGAGGGAAACCAGGACTGAACTTGTAGGAAGGTGAGCGGGACTTGGCCAGGCGCGGTGCGCGGAGCGCGGAGCAGCCGCCCAGGGAGCGAGTGGGACTTGGGGGCGGGAGTTGAAAAGGGGAGACGCTAGACGAGCCAGCCCCAAAGCACTGGAGATGGACGTGACAAAGGTCAAGGCCACTGGATTAAGCCCGCTCCCGACTTGGGGGCGCCTTTGCTTGCAGCCGCGTTTGCAGAAGCGAACTCGCCGGGAGAAGATGGCCAACCCAAAACGAGCTGCCCCGGTGGGGTCGCAGCGGCGCGGCGGCGCTGCAGGCCCGCCCAGTTTGCACCCCCGCCTC